GGGTTCGCCACGTGTTGCATGAGATCTTCCTAGGACGAAGTTTCCTTTTGTTTGAGGATTCTCATGGTACACATGCGCTACTTCCCCTTGCGGGTCTCTCGTGTCGACGTGACACAAATGACGTTAGAGCTAGTTTGATGTGTTTTACTTAGTTTGTGGGGTGTCGCGCTGTGTGTGCCTTTGACTTGTTGCAATCTTGCAGCGGTCCTTTAGTTCATCACAGGTCCGTGATGGCTTTGAACTCATCGCAAAATTGTGATGGGTTATGGGCTCATCGCAAGCCCTCAGTGACTTCTGTGTCGTCATGGGCGTTTCTTTCATTCCAGTTTGATGCCTTCATCGTGATCACAGATGTAGTGAACAACCACATGTACTTACACAAGGGTCTCAAGAACTCATAAAGTGTGTGATGAACCCTAAATTTAATGAAGGCTATTTGAGTCTAAAATATGGAAGTCAAGTGTCATCGAAAACCTCAAGTAACTGGATACAAAGGGTCAGATCTTCCCTAGAGTAGAATAGCTGATCCATACCTGTGTCACAAGCAAGATTTGCTAGGGAATCCACAACCTTATTTTCTTTCCTTGTAGAGGCAGGCCATTTTTCCAGAGAATGCCCTAGTAGTTGAAGAAGCTAAAAGAATGTAGTGAATTTGTGCTTTCAATTTTTTTGGTATTTTGTTGCCTCTTTTGTCCTTATTGGGGCTGCCAATTTTTGTTGATTTTTTTCGGTATTTCAAAGGGTTATACTCTAAGGCTATGTTTGGTTTGAAGGAAAAGGTAGGGAAACCTATACGAGGTTTGTAAAGGTTTCCCTACTTTTTCCCTCAAACCAAACACAAACATAAGATTTTGTCTAAAATGATGATCCTACAGTGATTGGATGGGCTTTGTGGTTCTCTTTTTATTCCTTTGGTGTACATGAAATGTTTTGATCAGAGTAGAAAAAAGAGGTGATACTGTTAGGCTCTCTATTTGTTGGTGGTATGTATATCATGTAGTTTTTGTTTTGGTGATTTTCTTTTTAAGGATGTGGAGATGCAGTTAATTGGTCTCGGTCCCATTGGTTATTATTTTTATTGTCTTGTTAATTTTTAGCTTGTCTTTCTTTCATTATTGGTGACAGGGGTATTCCTATTATTGTATACACTTTTAATTAATTAATATAAGGACAAATTGATTCTGCGCCCCGTTTTTCTCTCATTCTTTCTGTCTACTACCTTTTTCTTCTTCTTTGTTTTCTCTTTTCTTTTGCTTTTTTCTTCTACTGTTTTGCTTACCAAAATAGGTCTGAATACTAATGGTTACAACCTACTAAGGACTATAGTAGGTTTTGTAAGATGAGTGGGATTTTAGTTAGAATGCAAGTGATGATTATAATTCTCAGAGAATAGGAAGTATAGGAAGAACATGACCATTATGTGTGGTGCTTACTTCCTATTTCTAGAAAAAAGGTTGGTATGGTTCTAGAATTATATACCAATCTTCTTTTTTGAAATGACACTTTTGTAAACCAATCAATGCAAAAGAGGCTGTTCTGTTTGTGGTTCATTTCTTGAGCGATGATATGAGAGCATTGATTGTATGATTCATTTGTACATGTACTTTTCACTATCTACTTTTGATGGTATGGTCAACATCAAAATGGCTATGTGAGACACACCATACAACTGCCATGACTTGCTTACATTAGCAAACCATGTTTCCTAGTGGAGAAAGCAATAAAAAGTAGTGTTAATGTTAAACAGTGTATGCCCTTGGCTCCAATCATATTGATGTACACAGATATTGAAGAGTAATTAAAGTGCATTATTGTTTCATGATCAAAATTGGTATATTTTTGTCAATTACTTCTTAAACTAGACATTTATGAGACTTATGCTAGTTTAGAATGTTCTTAGCCATTGGATAGACTTAGGGAGTTTATCCTGACAAGGTTAACACTAGTGTGTTGCCAAATTGGTGGAGCAGTTCGTGTTTGTAAGAAACATTGAACCCGAATCAATTTCCAATTATGCCCTGGACCTTAAAGATAGATGGGCAAAACTGGGATGTTGCACTTAACCTAGACTTGATTATGATATTGCACTAGGTTTTGGATTGAATTGTTTTTGATGTGTCAACCGGTGAGATCTATAAAGGGTCAAATAATTGGGCATGTTGGGGCAATTTAGGAAATTACCCGAGTTGGTGATCATAGTGATAGAATCGACCCTTTTGTTACACAAAGCGAATATCGGGGTTTACACTCTCTCTGATGGAAACTTAAACTACTGGTAGTGGATTTCAACTATATTTGAAATCTGATTTGCAAAATGTATTTATATGTTATATTACTATTTTATGAAAAATGTTTGCATGCAAAAGGTTTTAATCCCGGGATCCATCTGAGTAGAGAGTGTGACACTGCATTTTGCAGTCAGGGAAAAGATCCTTCCTTGGTGAGTAGTGTCTTGATGATTATGGGCCGAGAGATTAGGTGTAAGAGACCATTACAAGGCTGATTACCTGATGGGCTTCATCTTACATAAGTCCATTGTCCTTGGGTCTTCATAGGGTGACTTGATCTAAGGATTTTTTATATATAAATGTTGGGCCCAACTGAGCCCGTGCTGATTGGTTCAAGGGTTCACTGTCCAAGGGCAGTGAATTTGTCCTAACCTCTTCCAGGGGTGGGGCCGAATGCTTATGCACTTGTGTAAGACTTTTGTTGGTCCCATGCCATACAATGTTTAGGCCTATATGGCCTTGCAACACATAGGAAAGTGAGCCATTAAAGAAATGGGCCTATGTCCCATTACTAATGACATGGGGAGAATTTCGGTCATGTATATGGGTATGGATCACCTATTCTTCTAATAAGATAGAGTTTATCTATAAGGATGAATTCTACTCCAAATCAGATTTGCTTTCCAGCTCCTAGTAGGACTAGGAGAGTTCTCTATATAAGGGAAGAGAGGGATGGACAAACCAATGCATTCTCTACTCTCTCCAGCTCTCTTTCTCCTCCCTTGCGTTTGTGGACTCTGTATCAAGTATGATCAGAAATTTATTTGGGTTTCAAATCTGGTTCGGTTTAGTGCAAGATCGATCCTGAATTTTCAGATTTCAAAATCATGGGGAAACTGGTTCCTGGGTTGGGTTTGAAAAGTATTAAAAATCCTGTCAGTCTAATCTGATTTTTAACCTTTCCAACAGTTCAAAAATGGCCCTTTTGCTGGTTCTGGAACCAACAGTTCAAAATCCAGTCAGTCTAATCTGTTCGTGAACCAGAAGAAATACTAACACTACCACAAACTGAACACCCCCTGGATTGATGCTGATGATGTTTTATGGGGAAACAAGATGATAAAACTGAAGAGAAGGATGTTTCTGGTTTTTTTCCACTAAAGGAAACTTTCCAACAAGTATAAAAGTGTATTTGAAGATGCTGGTTGGCAAATTAGTTTAAATAGGAAAGAAGTTGGGTTGTTTTTGTTTTTGTTTTTTTTTTATTTTTTCCTTTTCTAGAAGGAAGTTTGGTTTATTCTTTTTGGTTGGGGGAGTTTGCTGCAAAAGTGTTTATTGAGTTAGAATAGAGAGATGTGCAAATGGAGATTAATTGTAAAGATAAAGATACATTGAAAGAAGTCACTTATTTAAGAGAGGTTCCTTGATAGGGTGGATGATGAGGAGGATTAGGTGGTCAGTGGTGGTTATATTAGGGACTCAGTGTCAGTGATTTCATGTGGGCATTGAAGATATGAGAAGTTTTAGGAGGAAGGTTTAATTTCTGAATTGTTTTGATTGCTGGTTTGCGTTTGTTATTGTGGTTCGTTGTGAGTGTTGTTTTCTGGAGTACTTGGAATGAGAGTAGAACTTTTCATGTTTTGCTTGTTGGTGGGCTATCACTATTTCTGGAGAGGATCATTTCTGGTTTAAAATTTGAAGCGGCTTTTCTTTCTCTTCCTCCCCCTGTTTGTTTTGGTCTAGTTTGTTGGTTGGCTTTTATGCATCTTCTTTGTAATCATATGTAGTTTTTACTTCTTTGTGATTTTCTATAACTTGTTCTTATATTCTCTTTGTATTTTAATGAAGACTTTCTTTAAAAACCATAAAAATGGATCTGCAACATATTTATCATTAATTTCCAGTTCTATTATAAGGAGTGCAGAGAATTAGTAACTTAGATAGGATAGAAATATAGAATGCTATGTAATATGAAGATAGACATAGCTATAAAGTTTGAATGCCTTGTGTTCGTGTTGACCTGATGAATGTTGACTTTGTATTTATTCATTATTTTCAATTATAATTTGGTTATTGGGTAGTTTTGAATACAAGGATTCCTTTGAAATAGTCAATAACTCCATTTCTACTATGTCTGCATATTATTTTATTGGTGATTTTTTTTTGAAATAGCCTATTGTATATTTGTTACTTCGTGTGCCTTCCTATTATTCATTGCTGCAGTTGCTAAATCTGCATTATTCTCCCTTTAGATATACTTACCTGATGCCAAGGAAGGGCCTAGTCCACTTTGGTGGGTTTGTATCTCTTCTTATGTCACATTTTTACCTTGAAGGTCATTTAAATGGAATAAGGACGTCAACAGATAAGGTGGCTTCCAAGCCAATAGAACTTGATAATCACAGAGAATGGTAGAAATTATATCTAGTAAAAAGGATAAAAAACCTGGACTTATTTCATTGACTTTCACTTTGCATTTTACCTCATCTTTTTTGGTGAGTATAATGTTGTGGTGATATCTTGCTTATGGTTATACCAATTACCGTTGGGGTACATTGTTTATCTACCTGTTATCTTTTTGCTATATCTTTATATATTTGCTTTCTGGCTTCCACCAGTCCATTTTCTTTTCCTTTCTTCTCCTTTCTTAGTTGGTATCCTCAATTGTTAGTCATGTGTTCTGGACATCTGGTGACTACATGCATAATCTATGACAGGATATGTTGATGAAATAAGGTTGTTTCTTACTCCTTTTTCCTGTGTCAATGACAGTATGTCCTAAGGGACAGTGTGAAGAACACAAGTGGAAAGGACAAATCAACCTACATTCTAGTGCCTCGGCGAGAAGATCAGGAGCTGACAGATAAGTCTGTTTCTTTGGTGATTGCAAGTGGAACAGAAACAGCAGAAGATGAAAAAGGTATGACTGGGACCTAACGCCTCTAAGGGGACAGATAAGTCTGTTTCTTTTGTACATTGTAGATGCAAAAGAAAACTAGCAAATGAGGTTTGTTCTAAATAATAAGTCAAAATGGTTTAGCCAACAGTTGTTCTGGGCGCAACTGTAACTCTTGTTTAATATCAACATTCATGTAATCTCTGTTGTAGTTTATATATTTTCTGTTTGGAGAGGTGGCACCTCGCGCCTCTAAGGGGATTTTCATGTAACCAATCTTTGAAATAACGGAAGATGATTTTTTTATAAAAAAAAAAAACAATTTTATTAAGTCATGGAATTGCTCGAGAGCATAATGGTTTCCATCTAACTCTCTTTATGGGCCAATTTTATAGCTAAGATTTTAGTTTCTTCTGTTCCAGTTTTAAAACTCTATTTACTTGGACATTGGCATTTGTTTTCAAAATTACTTAGTATTGAATTATATTGTGGAGCCATTTTTTGATCATTAGGAATTGACTTTACTGCAAAAATTTAGGAGAATTTACAGATCCAACCTATCAATTTTCTAAAGTCAATTGTCCAACCTATCACACTTTGACTTAATTTGTTCTAACTATCAAGTCAAGAGGTTTAGCTAACAAATTTTATTCACGGTATTGCTTGAGAGCATAATGGTTTCCATCTAACTCTGTCTTCATGGGCCAATTTTATAGCTAAAATTTTATTTTCTTCTGTTTCAGTTTTATAACTCTATTTACTTGGAAATTGTCATTTATTTTCAAAATTACTTAGTATTGAATTATATTGCGGAGTCATTTTTTGATCATTAGCAATTGACTTTACTGCAAAAATTTAGGAGAATTCACAGATCCAAACTATCATACAAAGAGTTATTGGCAGGCAACTCAAGAGTCAAGACCTCAACATCCATAAGCTAACAGACATTAAATAATCAAATAACCATTACAACTGTTTCCCCTGGACGTGGCATCCTTCCATTGCCCAATCCAGTGAGGCTGACTTCCGGGTTCTTGCTAATGTTACTACTGAAATTTTGTGGTTGCAAGTACTGCTCCGACACCTGGGTTTCGATCTCTCTTCTCCTGACACTTGGAGCCATTCAGTTCGTGAGGAGAAATTTGGATCATTCCCCCAGCACATTCAGTTCATTAATACATGAATCCAACATACTAGTGAACCTACAATGAAGGAGGTGGTTGTGGATTTGTCAGGAGATATCTACGATTGTCTCAAACTGCTGGATAGGAGTTTGGTGGGTTCCGTGTTAGAAAAATGAGTTGTGGAGTGGTAAGTTAGAAGGCCACTGATGCTATATTGGCTTGGGTTGTTTTCTTTCTTGAGGAGGAATCTCTGGCTAGCGATTCCAAGGAGATTCTTAATGAAGGATAGGTCGGGGAGAGGATGAAGGAAATTGTGATTGGTGATGCTGAATTGGGAAAGGTTTTAGGAGATGACGATGGAGGAAATGAGGATTACCACATGGTTTGCGAATCTTCCCAGGTAGAGTGCTCTAAGGCCATTCACAGTCCTGAGGAAGTGGTGATAGGAAAGTTTGGTGTGAATTTAGGAAGGTGGAGGAAAGCAGAGAGTGATGTGATCACAACTGAAGAGGTGGCTCCCAAGAAATCTCATGGAGCATGGAATACACGTTGTTCGCATTACCAAGGTCTTTTCTTGGGTGAAACTTGGTTTGGTGGGGGCAAGGCCTATAAAAAATTACAAAAAGGTTTAAAAGAGTGAGGGAGCAAGACAACAGTGCCAACAATTGTTGATGTTGGAGGTATGGACTTTCAAGTTAATAATAGTGCGGTTTCTCATATGGGAATCTTTCAGCATGAAAAGGACAATAGAATTGACTTCAGTTCTGGAGCGAGAGATCTTGATAGAAGTCTTGATGATCGGGTGGAGAGGTTTGGAAAGCTTCCTATTGAGAAGATTGCAGAGAAAAACGTTGTGGTTGGCAAAAGTCTTGGCTTGTTTATTTGGGAGGAGTTTGCTGGGAATGCCTTTGAGGAGTTTGAGAGGAGGGAAGAAAGTGGTAATTGGGGAGGGAGTAAAGATGTGGGATGAGGATATTGACAGACAGGAGGATGTGTTTGAAGGGGAGGGTTAGGAATTGGTTGCCTGGGCTTTGTGTGGTATCGAAGCTTGTGAAGGTGAGTGGGGGTGTCTGAAATTTGGATCTTCATTTTGTTGGTTGTCTTTAGTCTTGTGTCATTGGTTGCAAGTTTGTATTAGTGTCTTGTTATCTCTCTTTGGTGATCTCTTGTCACCTTCCTTTCATATTCTCTTTTTCTTTTAATGAATTTCTATTTAAATTTCCAAAAAAAATCTGGCTAGACCGTCTGCTACACTGTTAGCAGGCTAGGAACTGAAAGAGCAATTCAGATTGATAGATAATACTACTGCTTCTATGATTTGATTTTTTAAAACCCCAAAGTCCATCTCATGATAGAAACCAGATGAATGCTACTTGTCAATATCCTCTCTCAACTGTTCTATTCCGCTCGTATTTCTTTTTCTTTGCAGATCTCTGTCCACTAAGAAGAGCCTAGGATTAAGCATTTAAAGAGTTTCCAGTCCTTGCTGGACAGGAATAGCGTAATGACATATTGCCATAGCCCAAAGTAATTTCTGAACATTCCCATGCGTGACTGGCCTGGATTTCCAATAGAACTGGCATCAAAATTCAGCTTATCCTGAGCTGCTGCCCATGCCATACAGCTGATCGATCTCTGCGGGGAGAAACTAACCAACACCTGCAATTATGTTGCAGAGTTATCAAAAGATAATAATTCACAACCCATTCATATTCAGAATATTCACCTGCTAGGTTACAAATATGGTGTTTTTTGTTTCAATTGGGCTTAGTCTATCCTGATAGCTTTCTGCAATGCATTTCTTGGGACTTTGGACACAGGAAAGAGCAATTGCCTGAAGATTTTATTATTGCAATCTTTGGCATCTTTTGCACAAAGTGCTGCTCTGTCTTGAACTTACATTCTGACATTTGACACCCTAAGATTTACAAATTCATCAAGAAATGACCACTTGGACATACAGTTATCTGGATTTTAATTCACTTTTTAATCAAGACATAACAATTGAAATATATTGTTTTCTATTTTGCAAAGACCAAATTGATAAATATATTTTTTTTTTTGCAACTTGCTATAATGCAGACTCTGACTTTGTTTCTCAAGAAAATTAGAGCTTTAGTTATGGATCTCATTCTTTTAAACCAAAAGAATATCATTGATGGGAAAAACAATAAACAAGATGGATGCTCCTAAAATGTGGAATGTTTGTTGTCAAAAGGATATTATTGCATAAGGTGAAACTGTGAAAGAGAAACTGAAACTGTGGAATAAGGAAATGATTAACTTTATCAACGAGAAAGCTGCTATGAGATCTAAAATTGAGAAGATGGACAAGTTAGAGGCAGCAAAGGATATGAGTAGAAAGATATCAGAGATGGCAACTTGAAAAGGAATTGAATTAATCTTAGGTCTCGTTTGGTTTGTGGGAATAGGGGTCTTGAATCGGAATCGCTATTCTGATTCCAACTATTTGGTTGGGCAGAATTGGAATCCCATTCCCATTCCTGCTGGAATGGCCTCCCTTGGGAACGAAATCAAATTCCTGTTGATTCCAATTCCCATTCCCATTCCCTTTCCTGTCTGAACCAAACAGACTACGGGAATAGACTGTTCTGATTCCGATTCTGATTCCGACTGCTAACCAAATGGACCCTTAAAGAGGAAGTAAATAAGTTGGAGGCAGAAATCAAGGTGCAAATGGATCAAAGAAAGTAGGAAAATTTCATAGTTTTTTTTTTATCCACTCTAGCAAATGGAGAAGAAAGAAAATCCCTCTCAAGATTGGTAATATATGCAGTGGAAATAATTTACTAGGTGGAGTTATGGTAAGGGGCCATTGCTTGGTATAATGGTAAAATTTAAGGTTGACAATTTCGAGTCTGAGGGCTTCCACTTTGAACAAAAAAATACCAAAGGTTAGGATCAACATTGGATAATGGCCTTTGAGGTCCATCTTGTGGTTGTTTGAAAGCATGGTTTGCAATTTTAATATTGATTGACCCAATGGAACCTTCACTTGTGCTTCTTTCTTCAAGTCCATCTCTCAACTTTCTACTCACCAACCCTTTCCGTCAAAAGAAATTTGGTGTAGGCCAGTTCCCCAAAAA